AGAGAGAGAGAGAGAGAGAGAGAGAGAGAGAGAGAGAGAGAGAGAGAAAGAATCATGGTAATTCTGATTACATGAAATTAAAAAGGTTTTGCACTTAAAAAAACCAATGCAACCAAAATTAGAAGGAATGAAGTAAAGTGGGAAATTAATTTTACAAATTTCTTTGATAAAGGCCTCATTTTTCAAATATATAGGGAACTGAGTCAAATTTATAAGAATACAAGTCATTCCCCAATTGATAAATGCTCAAAGGACACGAACAAGCAATTTTTAGACGAAATCAAAGCAATCAATAGTCACATGAAAAAATAATCACTATTGATTAGAGAAATGCAAATTAAAACAACTCTGAGGTACCATCTCACACCTATCATATTGGCTAACATTACAGAAAAAGAAAATGACAAATGCTGGAGGGGATATGGAAAAGTAGTGGCACTAATGAACCATTGGTGGAGTTGTGAATTGTTCCAACCATTCTGGAGAACAATTTGGAGCTATGCCCAAAAAGGCTATAAAAGTGTGCATATGAGGGGCAGCTAGGTGGTGCAGTGGATAGAGTACTGACCCTGGAGTCAGGAGGACCTGAGTTCAAATCCGGCCTTAGACACATGATACTCACTAGCTATGTGACCCTGGGCAAGTCACTTAACCCCAATTGCCTCACAAACAAAAAAACTGTGCATATACTTTGGCCCAGCAATACCACCACTGGGTCTATATCCAAAAGAGATCAAAGAAAAGATAAAAGGACCTTATAAGTACAAAAATACTTATAGCAGCTCTTTTAGTGGTGGCAAAGAATTGGAAATTGAGGGGATGTCTATCAACTGGGGAATGGCTGACCAAAATATGGTATATAATTATGATGGAATACTACTGTGCTACTGTAAAAAGTGATGAGCAGGAACCCTCATCCAGAAAAACCTGGAAGGACTTACATGAACTGATGCAAAGTTAAGTGAGCAGAAGCCGGAGAATAGTATACACAGTAACAGCAATATTGTATAATGATCAGCTGTGAATGACTTAGCTATTCTCAGCAATACAATGATCCAACACAACTCTGAAGGACTTATGATGAAAAATGCTATCCACCTCCAGAGAGAGAACTGATGGAGTCTGAGTGCCAGTAACAGCAAACTTTTTTTTAAACTTTCTTCATTTTTCTTGGATTTTTCTTTGGGTTTGTGTTTTCTTTTACAACATGACTAATATGAAAATATGTTTTGCATGACTACACATGTATAACCTATATAAAATTGCTTGCCTTCTCAATGAGGGGAAGGAGAAGGAGGGAGGGAGAGAATTTGGAACTCAAAATTTTAAAAAACAAATGTTAAAAATTGTTTTTACATGTAATTGGGGAAAAAATAAAATAATAAAAAAAGAAATGAGGAGCAGGATGGTTTCAGAAAAACTTGGAAAGATTTATATGAACTGATACAGAGTGAAATAAGCAGAACCAGGAGATCATTATATACAGTAACAGCAATATTGTTAAGTATGATCAACTATGAAAGACTTAACTACTTTGATCAAGACAATGATCCAAGTCAATAAAAGATTGGTTATAAAAAAAAAATTATCCACCTCCAGCGAGAGAACTGCTAAACTGAGTGCAAATTCAAATATAATTTTTTCACTTTATTTTTTTTTTTTGCAACATGGCTAATATGGAAATATGTTTTGTATGATTTCACATGTATACCTAATATCATATTGCTTGCCTTCTCAATGGGTGGGAGAGGGGCTGGAGGGAGGGAAAGAATTTGGAACTCAATTTTTTTTTAAATGATAAAAATAAATAATAAAAATTTGAAAAGATTTGAAAAATACATTACATATCTGATCCTCACAATAAGCCTGTGAGGTAGGTATTATTAATATCCCCATTTTACAGATGAGGAAGCTGAGTCTGAGAGAGGTTAAGTGACTTGTCAAGGTTATATAGCTTGTAAGTGTCTCAGATGGGATTTGAATTCAGGTCTTCCTGACTCCAGGCCCAACACTCTCTCTACTGTGCCATTCTTGTACTACACCTCTGGCAGCAACTGCTGCCAGCAAGAAAAGGCCCATCTATACAGACACATCCATAGCAGCATTATTTGTGATAACAAAACTTTAGGAACAAAACAATTGGTCAAAATGGCTAAACCAATTGTGGTAAATGAAGGTAATAGAATATTATGGTTCTATAAGGAATGACAGATATGAAGAACTCAGAAACCTTTAAAAATGGATATCAAAGGGGCAGCTAGGTGGCGCAATGGATACAGCACTGGCCCTGGAGTCATGAGGACCTGAGTTCAAATGTAAACTTGGACACATAATACTTCCTAGCTGTGTGACTCTGGGCAAGCCACTTCACTCCAATTGCCTCACTAATAAATAAATAAATAAATAAATAAAAATAAATGGATATCAAATGAGGCAGAATGATGAAAGTAAGTCCCAAAGAAATAGACAAAAGTATTATGGCAAGGGAAAGCATGGAAAGGCAATGGAATGCCACTCAGATATGACAGCCAATGTTAACAGACAAATACATACTAATAACACATCCTTCTTTCTTTTAATAATTAGCAATATAATTATCTTCCCCACCCCCACCCCCTGCCAAGGAATGTACTATGTAAAGATTTATTTGGATATTTGATGGGAAGTATCTATTGTGTAAAAACAAAATATAACCTCGCTTTTTTAAAAAAAAAATGGTATTTCTACCCCCTAGTAGGCAGATTAGAAGGGAGTGAGAGAGCCAACAGTGACTAGAAGCTAGGATGGAGCAGAGTCCAGGAGCATCAAGACAAGACAGGATTGATGGAGCCAATAGGTTCTTTTGGGGGCCTGACCTACACTTTCATTGGTTTTGGGGACTCCTGATAAGAAGTCTTAGAGTTGCCTGGGTCACTGAGAAGTTAAGCAAATTGCCCAGGGCCACTTGGCACAGGGTGTCAGAAACAGGTCTTACCACTCCTCATACATGGTATCTCAACTCCAGTTTCCTTTACATAGGCTGATCCCCACCAATCCTAGAATTCACTCCATTTCCACCTCTTGGAATTCCTGGTCTCCTTCAAAACCTAGTCCAAGCCCCACCTTCCTGGTCCCTTCAGCTGTTATTGTCCTCCCCACCAAAATTACCTTTCTTCTGTTTTTCACGTATTCCATATATATCTGTATATGTGCACATCATCTCTCTTATTGAAACATAAGCTCCCACATGAATTGGTCCAGGCATTCTGGAAAGTAAGTTGGAACCACGTTCAAAAAGCTATTAAGCTGGGAATTCCTTTTGCCCAGCAATATTGTATAAATTGTTCCCCTGGTTCTTTTCTGCTCACTTTACTCTGTATTAGTTCGTATCAGTCTCCCCAGGTTTCTCTGAACCCATCATTTTCATTGATTGACCAATGTCTTAGTCAGCTGCAATTCCAGAGGACTCAAGGTGAAACATGCTGTCCATTTCCTGATACAGAGCTGATGGACTCAGATTGTGATGTAATTTTTTTTTTTTGGACATGGCCATGCAGGTATTTGTTTTGCTTGACTGTATGTATTTGTAACAAGGGTTTTGTTTTTCTTGCTTTCTCAATGTGGGGAGGAGCGAAGATCAGAGAGAGGGAATGTGGATCTAGGAATAAAATAAAATACAAAATAAGTAGGGTGGTACTAACTCAGGGGTTCTTAACCTAGAGTCTGTGAACTTGACTTAAAAATATTTTGATAACTGTAATTCAATATAATTAGTTTCCTTTATTAAAAAACAAACAGCAACCTCTCATCAATGCAATGACAATGGTTTCAGAAGACAGATGGTGATCCCTGCTACATACATCTTGACAGGGAAGTGATGGATTCAAGATGCAGAATGAGACATACATTTTAAAACATGGCCAATTCCAGTCCAATGTGCTTTGCTTGATTAAGCATATTGGTTACAAAGATTTTTTGTTTGTTTGTTTGTCCAATTGAAAAACAATGGAGGAAGTGGGAAGGGGAGAAAATAAATGCTTGATTATTTTTTTTAGCACTCCTCCTCCCCCCCAAAAGATAAATGGTTGCTAACTGAAAAGAAAAATAATTAAAAAATAAGGTCCTTAAGGGCAGAGATTATTTTGCTTGTGTGTGTGTGTGTGTGTGTGTGTGTGTGTTTAGAGCCTCGCACAATGCCTAACATAGCACACATTTAGTAAATGCTTGTTGGATTACTAATCTCCAGGTTCTGAGGCTCCCTAAAACACTAGTCCAGGAGTTTTTAACCTTTTCTGTGTCATGGACCCCTTTGGTAGTCTGGAGAATTCTCCATGAACCCCTTCTCAGAATAATGTTTTTAAATGTATAAAATAAAATATGTACAATTAAGAAGGAATTAATTGAAATATAGTTATCAAAATATTTTAAAAAACAAGTTCCTAGACCCCAGGTTAAGTAAGATCCATAATATAGGCAATGCTGCCTAACCAGAGGTCAGAGTGAAGCTATGATCCATTGCAGAGTTCTGACTTCTAACCACTGTGTGCAATGTGCATGGGATAGGATAGTCAGGATGGTGTAGCAGGACAAGCAGACTTAGGGTCGGAATACCTGTATTCTAGTCATTCAGTCACTCAATAAGCATTTATGAAGCACCTACATTTATTAAGCCAGGCACTGTGCTAAGCTCACCACACTCATATATACCTATATGCATATATACATATATACATATATACACATATATATGGAGAGAGAGAGAGAAAGAGAGAGAGAGAGAGACAGACAGAGAGAGAGGAGAGAAAAAAGGAAAGAGACAGAGACAGAGACAGAGAGAGAGAGAGAGAGAAAGAAGACAGTTTCTGCTCTCAAGGAGCTCATGGTCTAATGGGGAGACAACACAGAGACAATTATGTTAAAATAAGAAATACAGGATAAACTGGAGATTATCGACAGAGGGAAGGTTCTAGCATTAAAGAGGATTGGGAAAGGCTTCTCATAGAAGGTGGGATTTCAGCTGGGACTTGAAGGAAGCCAGGGAAGTGAGGAGGGTGCAGCTAGGTGGCGCAGTGGATAGAGTGCCAGGCATGGAGTCAGAAGACTCTCCCGAGTTCAAATCTCTCCTCAGACACTTCCAGGCTGTGTGACCCTGGGCAAGTCACTTAGCCCTGTTTGCCTCAGTTTCCTCATCTGTAAAATGAACTGGAGAAGGAGATCGCAAACCATTTCAGTATCTTTGCCAAGAAAATTCCAAATGGGGTCAGAAAGAATGGAACATGACTGAAACAGCCGAACAACAAAAGGGAAGTGAGGAGACACATATAACAACGGAGCAGCACGTGGGGGGGGGGGGGGGGGGGGGGGGGGGGGGGGGGGGGGGTTTGGAGCTGAGCGATGGAGTGTTTTGAGCAAGGAATTTTAAGAAAGCCAGTATCACTGGACCACAGAGCACTGAGGTGTAAGAAGACTGGAAAGGTGGGGAGGGGTGGGTAAGGAGCAGGTGGTGAAGGGGGTTAAAAGCCAAGTCTTCACCAAGCCCACGAGGATGGTCCCTAACCCCATGGGTTGAGTCCTAGCCCACGGAAAACATCCCTGCTGCTTGGAGACAGGTTGCCAGGGCCCCACAGACATCACAAATGCTTTGAGCAAAGCCTGCTTTGAGGAGTAGCTGTTTGCAGCCAATGTCTTCACATCTCCAGGAGACAGGACAAGATCAGTGCAAGGTTGGCCAGCAACCTGGGAGCTCGCCTTCTGTTGGAGGTGGGTAAGCTGGCTTTGGGCACAGGGAAAGAGCCGGGCTGAGCCCCTCTCCTCCCTTGGCTCTTCGGCCCCTGGCAGGCAGCAAGGGAAGTATGAGCTCATCCCCAGACCTGTCCTGAGCAAAGCAGAGGGCAAAGCAGGAAAGCAGCCGGGTTCCCTGGGGCTCTTTCCTGGCTCTGCTCCCAGGTAGCTCTGTGCCGCGCCTTTGATTGCTTACTTCCCTAGGGGTTTGTCTCAAAGATCTCAGCCATGAGAGCCCCTAAAGAGCAGCTAGGGAGTTCAAGGCCCTCCACAATCTGGTGCCACCCTGCTGTTCCAGGTGAATTTTACAAACTCCCCTCCCTGAATTCTGTGCTCCAGCCAAACCGCACAGCTCTGTCTCTGCCTCTGATATGTCCTGTCCTCTCCCGCCTTCACTGCATTCAATTCAATAAGCATTCATTAAACACCTACTACGTGCTAGGCACCCCTAGTGGCACTGGGAATACAGAGACACCAAGAATGTCCTTGTCCTCAAGCTTACAATCTACACGGATATGCAGCACGTACACCAGCAAGTGAATGCCAAATATATACAAATACAATGTAATTTCAAGAGGGAGAGAGTGCTAATACCTGAGGAAAGGCCTCAGGTGGGAGGCGGCACTTCATCTAAGCTTTGAGGAGGTAGTTTTACTTAAAAACCCCTAATAAACTTTTAATGAGTCGCTAGAGTGCTGGACTTGGAATCAGGAAGACAGGAATTCGAACACACTTACTAGCTGTGTGACTCTGGGCAAGTCACTTCACCGCTGGCTGCCTCAGTTTCCTCATTTGAAAAATGGGGATACTAATAGCGCCTTCCTCCCAGAGCTGTAGTGAGGATAAAATGAGAGAACAGAGGTAAAGCACTTTGCAAACCTTAAAGTGCTATGCAAATATTAGCTCTATTATTATTATAAAAGAGGTTGGAGATTCTACCAGAGGTGAGGAAAGAGTGCATTCCAGATGTGAGGAAAAGTGATGGCAATGGGAATAGGATGATGGTTTCCTGGCTGACTGGTGGTGGTAAGCCTGGGATTGTAGAACTAGAGAATAAGCTCAATCAACTGCAGTTTAAGCTATCCCCTCTGACTGGAATGTCTCTCTCTCCACCCCACCCCACCCTTCCCATGTTGAGTTCCTATCCGGAAGGCCCAACTCTATCGCCACCTTTTCCAGGAAACTTTCTCTTCCCCTTTAGCCCTCCTGTACCACTCTGTTCTATAAATCTTCAATTCAATTATTAAATAACACCATCTATTATATTTTTCTGTGTTTGTGTCCCAGACTAGATCATAACCTTCATGAGGGCAGGCACCTTGTCTTCGCCACATTTCTACCCTTCCTATTCTGACACCTAGCTAGGACTCTGCAGGCACTCAAAAATTGTTTGTTGTAGTGTCTTGTATGTGTTGCCCTGAAGGAAGAAGCAGACCGATGGGTTTACAGTATTATTATTGTCAGTAATAATAATAATAATAATATTGTAACAGCTCACAGTATACCGAGCTTTAAGGTTTGCAAAGCCCATTACATACCTTCTCTTTTTTGATCTTCACAATTGCCTTATGAATGAACTTCAGAGTACCTCTGGCCTGGGGATTTCATAAAAGCTCTAGGGTCAGGAGATAGATTCTCATGAACCAGGGAACTCCTGGGGCCTCTCAGGAAAGCATGGAGAGATCAGGGGGCAGCTAGGTGGCAGAGCAGGTAGAGCACTTGGGCCTAGACTCAGGATAGACCAGAGTTCAAATCCAGACTCAGACGCTTAGCTCTGTGATCCCATCGGTAAGTCATTTTACCTGTCTGCCTCAATTTCCTCATCTGTAAAATGGGAGTAATAATAGCACCAACCTCCCAGGATTATTGTGAGGATCGAAAGAGACAGTAATTGTAAAGCACTTAGCACAATGCCTAGTACATAATAATCATGCATAAATATATAAATGCAAGTTATAATGATGATGTAGGGAATGGCTCCTATATGGCATATGATCTGAGGACAAGCATTAACTTTAAGGTGGAGGAAACTAAGAATTGAATCTTACTTTCAATTTCAAGTGAGGGTTGAGGAACTGCAGGATATGACCAAGGATGCTAGCAGGGAATGGCCTGACTATCTCCAGGCCTGATCTTTTACCCCTCTGGTTCCACTTCCTCTTCCCACTTGACTAGCTGTGAGGTTAGCCCGTGAAAGAGTCCTTATCTCTCAGTTCTTCTTACCCACTGTATCTCCCATGCCTGGGACCCACTCCCTTCTCAAAGGATCCCTCATATCCTTTGAGACTCAGCTCAGGCACCATCTTCTAAATGAAGCCTTTACCAATCCCTGTCCTTCCCCCTGCCCTATCCCAACACCTACTGTACTCCTTCCAAAACTCTCGTACTCAACTGCCTTGTATTTATTTTACAATTGTTCTATATCTGTTCAGTCATTTTTCAGTTGTGTCTGACTCTTCGTGACCCCATGTGGGGTTTTTTTGGCAAAGACACTGGAGTGGTTTGCCATTTCCTTCTCCGGCTCATTTTACAGATGAGGAAACTGAGGCAAACCAGGGTTAAGTGACTTGTCCAGGGTCACACAGCTATTAAGTATCTGAAGTCAGATTTTAACTTAGAGATGAGTCTTTCTGACTCCAGGCCTGTCACTCTATCCACTGTATTACCTAGCTGACCATTCTGTATCTACTTATTTTACACATATACACACATGCATATATACATCTGTATTTTACATATATATATATATACACACATACACATACATGTACATGGAGTCTCTCTCAGTAGGACAGGGATAGTTTCATTTTTGTCTTTGTATCTCTAGCACTTAGCTTGGTGCTTAGTATACAGTGGGTATTTAAATTCTTGGTGACT